TTACTGCATCTGCTCCTAAGGCCGGAGAAGTACCTGCATGTTGCAGCAACGAGAGCAGTGGGACCCAATAGTCTCCTGGGCATTAGTGGGGGGTGAGAAAGCTATTTACAGGAGTTGTGGCTGGTTTTAGTTCATAGTGGGTGAGGGATGCATTGGGGCACGGGGCACAGCTGCTTTGGTGTTTGTTGGCCTCCATGGATGCCTTAGCCTCCTGCCCCCTGAAAAACCAGTTAAGGTCAAATGAGAGGCCTCAGCTGGTTTCTTGTTGTCCTGTCTGGATAAGCCATCTGTTAATGGCACAGGCTTGTCCTCTGGAAACCTGATAGCGACACTGAGCAGTGCTGATGGCAGGCACGGCGGCGAGAGGGATGCAGTAACCTCAGCACTGCCAGAGACAGTCAATTCACCATTACTCTGTCTGCTTTAGTCTTGTCGATTAAGGGAAGCTCGTGGGGTTGAGAGCTTGAGCTATTGTCACTCTGAAAACCAATACTAATGTGAGACACATAGCTCTTCCCTCTGGAAGCTGTTTCTAATCACTTAGGGTGACTGCTTGGCTTCTTGTGGAGAGGGCAGGACCCCTTTTTGTGTTTGTTGTGGGTGCAACATGCATGTTCTAAGAGCCACCTTAATTTCTGCAGTCCAGCCAAATTCCAGCTCGGATGGTTCCTGTGCTCCCACAGCCCTGGTGGGCACAGGGATGGGTCTGTGCTGAGGAAAACTGAGGCTCGCCCGGAGCGGCAGCCGGTGGCTCCAGACTGTGAGGTGCTGAGGGCTCTGGCCCCCATCCAGTGAAGCACTTAGCGCTCACCCGACCGTTCCCCTGAACTCACAGGGGAGTTCTGCTTGGTTTTTCTTGCAGAGTGGTGTTGGGTTGCATCAACAGAGCTGAGGCGCTGAGCTGAGCAGAGCAGCCCTGGCTGGGCATAGCTCTCGTGGGGTGATAACTGGCTGGTGGGTGCTGGGAGGAGGGAGTGAGCTGGGAGTCTCCTCCAGGCTCCCTGCAGCTCCTAATATCCACTGCTGCCTGAAGATCCATTTCAGAGGGCTTCCATTGAAATATTAAGAGGGAGATGGCACTACTTTATTCTCCTTGCTGTTGCATAATAGATTTTTCTTATTTTTTACCCACATGTCTTTTTTTTGGTCTTTCTCCCTCGGGGCCTGACCACCCAGTGCCCCTTCCATTGATGGGAAGCTTAGGGGTGACCACAGGGTTGTGCTCAATGGGATCCACAATGTTAAATAGCAGGAAGACTCTTTTTTAAACTTCTTTTTCTTTGCCAGAGTGAGTAGGCTGAAGGCTTTTCCGCTGCCCTGGGGCAGGATCAGTCCAGCTGAGGTCAGGCTGGGCTGGCAGTGACCCTGTGGCTGTCACTTCACCGTTGGTCCCCAGTGAGATGTACACCCAGCAGTGCCTGTTGAGGGGGTGGGTGTTTGCTTAGAGGCTGTCCCCAGTTAACCCATGCTGGAAGGTAATCTCAGCCAAGCATTCTTTTTGTCAGCTTTTTTTTTTTAATTTTATATTTTTAATCAGTTTTGCATCTTTCCAAAAAATCTTCTGGAGATGGTTGGTGATTTTGCAACTCTCAGAGCCCATTCCAGGGTGTTCCTGTCCTTACACATTACAACACCCTATCCATCAGTGGGTAAATGAGGCGTGGATCAAATTTCAGTTTTAAATGACTTAAAGGGTGGATCTCGTTTTCATGTAACCAGAGGGTAATTTGGTTGGGTTTTTTTTTCTTGCGTGGTGAGGGAGGTGGATCTGGGGTCAGCTTTGCAACTCTCAGAGCCCATTCCAGGGTGTTCCTGTCCTTACACATTACAACACCCTATCCATCAGTGGGTAAATGAGGCGTGGATCAAATTTCAGTTTTAAATGACTTAAAGGGTGGATCTCGTTTTCATGTAACCAGAGGGTAATTTGGTTGGGTTTTTTTTTCTTGCGTGGTGAGGGAGGTGGATCTGGGGTCAGCTTTTTCCTTCTTGCAACCCACTTTTTTTGCTGAAAGGAAGGCTCTTTGCCCAGAGATGTGACCATGTCTTCTTTTTTTTTCATTGCTGGAGGCAAGGGAAGGGCCAGGCTGTTTCTGCTGGCAGTGGGCTGAGTGGAAGTTTGGGAGGCTGTGAAGGGCACGACCTGTTTGTACAGCCACAGCAGGGCTCAGTGTGCAATGTGGAACCATGTGAGGAGCTCAGAGCATCCCTGGGCGGGATGGGCTTTGCTGCCTCCTTCCCAGAGCCTCTACTGGCTGCTCTCTTTGTTCCCACCCAGCAGGGCTGGAGGACGACTAGCCTGCTCCAGACCTCCTGTCTGGTCACTGCTCATCTGTCCCTGCTTGCTGTTGGTTCCTGCTCTGGGACATCCATCTCTGCCAGGCTGCAGCAAGGCTCATATTCCATCAGAGCTTCTCTGCCTCTGCTATTGCTGTGGCACTAAGTTCTTCCTCCCTTGCTACATGTGATGAAGACCAGTCTGTAGCTTCTGCAGTGACTTCTGCCTCCCACAGCACTCTGTGGGAGAGGGCAGCTCTGGGAGGAGGAGATGTGGCTCATGGTGGTGACAGGGGACTTGTCTTTAGAGGGCTTGTCCTGGGTTATCTGTCCTTGTTCCCCTGCCCAGGCATGTGTATGACCCGTGGGGCTGGGACCCCACCAGGTACTCATCCCCATGTCTTTGACTACATCCTTGGTAGGTCTTTCCCAGCAAGAATCCAAGGTGCAGACCCATGGTGGGACATGTGGTCTGTATCACAAAGCCCACGCCATCACTCACTGGGGAGGTTACTGTGCTGAGGATAGCAAAGTGGTGGTTAGATGTTACCTCCAGTGCATGTCTCTGAAACCTGGGCTGTAGTAGGATGTCTCCATCCCTCCTTCCTAGTGACTCCTGGTCCTGTGCTGGCAGAGGGAGGACCTGTGGCAGAGTGGAGACTGGGACCAGTGTGGGGAAGCATCATTTCAGCACTTGCTTGTTTGGGATGGTGGCATTTGTGCTTGCTATGCTTCCTGCTCAGAGTCATTTCCTTCCATGCTGGGAGGGGGCTGGGAGGGTGTTTGAGTCAGTCACGGCAGCAGGTTGGAGAGGCTGATCTGCTGCTCTGTGGTGAGCAGAGGGCTACACAAACCAAACCCCAAACCGCCTTCCCCCAGCACATGCAGGCATGTTTGGGAGGATGAGAGAGATGAGCAAGCAGCTGCAAGTGTGCGTGGGCTGGAGATTTCTGCCCCACTCCCTCCGGGTGCACGGTCCTTGCCGAGGCTGCCCTTTGCCCTAGGAATTCCGTGCATGCTTCTGTCGTTGATAAGCACCTTGGTTGCTCCAGGGCTCTCTCCATTGCATGGATTTTAGGTATGCAGTTTGTAACAACAGCTCTGTCTTACTATTTACTTACTAACCCTGCTCTGTGCAGTGAGAGGTGAGCATAGGGCATGGCTAAGCACGCTGCAGCATCCCAAAGCACAGACAAGACACGCACAGTGTGATGCAGGGGCAGGCCAGGAATATTCCAGCATCTTCTTTTGGTAGTTATTGCCTGGTAAACTACCTTGAAAACTCATCTGCCAATTCTTTCCCACTGTGCTGGTCAAGCCTTACATCCTCTAAAGACAGGATTAGCCTTTACCCCACTGTGCATGTCCTGGATGCAAAGACCTGAACTGTGATATGGCTTTTTGAGAGCTAAAATAACCTGCTGTGTCACTAAGGATGTGAGCACATGGGCAGGTTGTGGCAGGGCACCCTGATGTTTGAAATTCCAGCTAGCCTTAAGAAGGGTAGGTGATACCTTAAAAAGTGACACCCTTTCTTGTTTTAGGTGTCTTGTCTGTCCTCCCTTTGCAGCCCCAAGGAACTGGGCCTTCCTATGCTCTTGTCATGAGTTGATGAGCTTTGAAGGGTTATTAGATTCAGAGAATATCCTGAGTTGGAAGGGACTCACAAGGATCATCAAGTCCAACTCCTGGCTCTGCACAGGACATCCCCAAAATTCATTCAGTGGTCAGTCTGGATATATCTGATGTCGGGCAGTGAGCAGGCTATCATTATCTCCAGATACACACCCACAGTGCTGCATGGGATCCTCTCCTGGCAAGATACACCACGTTCCTCATGGTTTACAAGTCCTCCCAAAGTCAATCCCTGTGTCTGCCTTGCCGTGGGGTTTGTTTGCAGTGAGCATCATCTCTCGTGATGCAGTTCAGTGCTGTCAGCGGCTGCTGCGGGTGATGAGCAGGTCACATTTCTGTCTAGTTTTAAACTGCAGTAAATTGAAATGAAAGGCGAGTCGATCCACAGTGAGTGCAGTAAGTGGAGTTTAATTGGGATGAATTACACGCCAGGTTTGCAGTAATCTCCATCTTGCATTGCTCAGAAGCATCATCTGCTCTGGAAACGTGACTCAGAAATGTTGTTATTTGATTCCCACGAGCATTTAAGAAACCATTTTTCCAGGAAGCAAAGATTCTTGGTTTTGAGTTGGTTTTTTGGGTTTTTTTTTTGCCTTGCTGCTGCTGTTGTTTTCTCTTTGTTCTGTGGCAATAAGAGTCCTTTCCCAGAATTTCCTCTGGGGAGGGAAACTGCAAGATGTTTCCTTACCAGCGACCCTTCAGCTCCTTCTCCTTGCTTGTTGTTGATGCCCAGCATGGTCACAGCCACTCCTTGCTGGGGATCCCCATGGGGGAGACATCCAACCATTTTTGGGGAACACAGATGTAAATATGGTGAAACATCCTAGGGAACCAGAGAGAAGGGGCTGTGCTTACAGACTGTGCTGTGCACAACCACACACATGTCAAGAGCGACGTGCAAGGAATGTGGTAAGGCCTCTGTGCTGCTTTGGAAGGTTGAGTCACAAGCTGAGGCTCCTGAAGGGCTTGGCAAAGGTGAGAAGTGCAGGTGACTTCTCTGGGAGGACCTGGGCCCTTCCTTCTCCTCCACTTTCATGGGAATTTCAAGCTCTTCACTGAACTCCTCTTTTGTTTTCCCTTTCTCTTAGTGGATATTCGTGAAATCAAAGAGATTCGTCCAGGAAAAAACTCGCGTGATTTTGATCGGTACCAGGAGGATCCATGTTTCCGACCAGACCAGTCTCACTGCTTTGTTGTCCTCTATGGCACAGAATTCCGCCTGAAGACCCTCAGCTTGCAAGGTAAAGCACTCACAGCCCCTGGGTTGTGCCAGGACAGGGTTGGGCAGGAACCTCATCATCACAGGACCCAAACAGCTTTACTGCTTCAGGACAAAGATAACCCACAGCTCCTGGGAACTGAAGGACAAGGGAGGGTGACATGCAAGGACCCACCTAGCCATGTACATTCCCTGGGAGGGGAGCTGGAGCTTGGCAGGGAGTGGAGGCAACCGAAGCATCTGCACAGGGGCAAGCTGTTACCAGAAAGGGGATGAAGCAAGGAATAGGGGATATAAGGTGTTTGTTTTAGTCCCAAGAGGTTTGAGTTGGTGATCAGCCTCTATGTCCCTTCCTCCTACTTCCTCTGTGTACTTTCCACAGCCACTTCCGAGGATGAGGTCAATATGTGGATCAAGGGGCTGAACTGGCTGGTGGCAGACACTCTGAGAGCACCCACCCCCCTGCAGATTGAAAGGTGAGGAAGACTTGTCCTTGTCTTGCACTTGTTTTATTTTTTCCCTTTTCTGTCTGTTTTGACAGAAAAAGGTGAGCACAGTGACATCTCATTCCCTCTCTGAGCTGCACTGACCTGGCACTGCTGCCTCTGCACTCAAGAGGCTTCACCCACCGACCCCAGAGTTTGATCTCACATGCATCAGGAAAAAGGAATTTTACCACAAACCTGATGTTACTATGTGTGCACAGCAGTTCAGTGCAGTGGAAAGGAACACAGCACTTTGTTTTCTGCCTTATCTGTGGACTCACTTTCAGGCAGAGATGTTTTTAAAGGGGGGCAGAGCCAGGATCTCTAGTGGGAAGGAGGGCTGTGGGAGTGGATGGTGTGGCATTGAGCATCTTCCAGAGGCAGCAGCAAACCACGTGGGCAGGTTGTTGAGGAGCTGGGGCTAATTGTGTGCCTGTTTGTGCCTTCCTTGTTAGGTGGCTCCGGAAGCAATTCTACTCACTGGATCGCAACCGGGAAGACAGGTAAGGAGAGAGAAACTTGCAGTCATATTCATGGATGGGTTTGAGCTGGAAAGGTTTACCTTTGATTTGAAACCCCAGCCTTTGTTTGGATTTTTTTCTGGATTCTTTAGGCTTTTGATTTGCTTTTCCAAGTCCCAGTACTTCCCTGGCTGATGTTCGCTGGATCAAAAAAGCATTAAAAAGTTGTCCTGTTTCCATGACCCTATTTCACAGCTGTTTAGTCCCAGTAATGCCTTGAGAACCCACAACTGTGAAACACCTTCCCCCCAGCCAGCATCACTTGAGGAAACAGACACCAAAGAGCTCTGGCCACCCTGTCAGGGCTGGGCTGGGTTGTGCTTGTTGCTCTCCACCCTGTTTTATTCTCCTTCCCTGAGGTCCGGGAGGCCATGGATCATCTCCTTGCTTGGGTTCTAGGCTGATGGGCTGCAGCAGGACCACTGCTTGTGGGGTTCTTGGGTGAATGCTTAGGGCTGTCCTGGCAGGTAAAATGTCATGCTTGAACCTGTCATGAGGAGATAAGGGAGGGGAATTGGGTCATGATTCATCATGAGGAGATGCGGGAAGGGATATTTCCCTGTCTGGGAGTGATTTCCAC